CGAGAGATCCCTGCTGGGCTAGAAACAGCACAGCAGCATTGCTCAATCTCCTTTAACCCTTCAACAGCAGCCTCTCAACTTCACTCCAGATGGGCTGGCTGCATTTTTTACAGTAGTTGTTGCCAGCAAGTCCTGATCTCACTTGTAGCTATATCTCATTTCAAATGAGCTCATAAGAAGCAACTTTAAACTTTTGCACAGAAATGCACTGGGACCTCTTAGGGAAAAAAAAAAAAAAAAAAAAGGAAAGCAAACCCAAACAAACCCAATAGCTGAATCACCTTCCCAGTAACTTCAGCTTTATAGGGAGAGCGGGAGAGGCTGGGGCAGGTTTTGTCAAGAGGCTCGGGCTGGGCTGCACTGCCTCAAAATCACCTAACAGCACACTCCAGCTCTCTTCTCCATTTGCACAGGCTGCCTGTCCTCAACCCCATCTCAAACCCCATCTCACCCTTGCACCGGCTCCTATCACACATTACGACAGCCTCATGTCGCTAATCCAGCAAAGAAATGTTCTCTCTTTGGTTGGGTTAGCTTTCTGGTAGTTGCAAATTGAACCAGCCTTCTGCAGGGACAGACCAGCACCAGGGGAGTCCAGAGCAGGACCTTCCTCTGGTCACAGCGAGCTGTTTCATCAGCTTACACTGCACCATGTCACTTGACACATGCTCTGCTGGGAGGAATGGAAGCACAGCTTTGTTCTTCATGTAATCAGCTAAGCACTTTTTTTAATTTTTTTTTTTTTTTTTAAACCAGAAAAGCTGAAGCTACTGTCAGTTGGCTGTGCAGTAGTTAAGCGATGAGCCCCTGCCTTACGAACTAAAACCTAACTCCAAGTTTCTCCCCAAGTTTACCCAAAGAGTTTGAAAACTACAAACGGATCCCCAAGAGATACTTCAGAAAAATAAACGTATGGCCAGTTGAGATTGTTAGCTATACTAGACTCCACACCTCACCAGAAAGGAAAAATACAACCAACAAAACCAAACAAAACTAAAACAAACCACAAAACTGAAACAACTCTTCAACGTTCCCTAAAACACAGAAATCCTACAGGATGTTTCCCCTAGCTAAATATCAGATCATAAGTATTCCTTACACCACCATGGCAGAGTCCTTCTCACCCCTATGGTAAGTACACAGGCATAAGACAGTGACTCTTCAGCAACCTCAATACCAATAGCTTGTATGAAAGTACATCAACATGTCTCATTTAGCCCACTTTCACATGCTTAGAACTAACTCTCCAAAATTACTAATTTTATACAGTTTGATAGAAATAAAATTTCTTTTTTCTTTCCACCTGCAAAAGAATAATGAAAAGGCAGAAGGAGCAAAATTATGTTTGCTCCACACAATCCTCTTCCCTCTTCCCTTTTTAATAATTATTCCCATTATTCTAAAAAAAAAAAATTTAAAAAAATCATGTTTAGACTAAGAGACTTGTAAAATAGCCTGGAAGAGGCAAATATGTATTAAATATAAAGTATTCCTGAATTTTAAAAAGTTGCAATACAAAAATATTTGAGAGAATAATCTAGGCAGAGACATTTGACTATAAAAGTTACCAAAACCCAAGGTGCTGCTTATATGGTAATTAGAACATGGCACAGAGGTTTAGCAGTAAGAATTTCACATATAAATTTCACAATTTCATATTAGATGATAGGCATCCAAAAACCCTGTATCAAATTGCTTTGAAGATCTTAAATTAGTTCCTTCGCAGAAAAAGCTGTTCCAATCAGGAGTTCAAAAAACCAACCAAACCAAACCCATAAAACTGCTCTTACTGAGTTGAACCACACTTGGACTTAAATGGAGTATTTTTAGATTAAATGAGAGCAAGCAGATATCACACAAGAAAAGAATGTTATGTTTCTGGCAGCATACTAAGACAACTCAGTGCTTTTTTGTATACTGGACTATAAAAATCACCAAAATCAGAACAGCTGAAATTAAAAATTGATACCAATCTTGGAACATTCATTCTAAATGCAAGAGAAATTGCTATTAAAGCCTGCATCAACTGTTGCAGCGTAAATCCATAACTGTTATAGTTTCCTTAACTGCTGATTTTTCTTCTTGCAAGTTTTCAAAGCAGACCAAAATGTTTCTAGTGTAATATCAAACCAATTAGGTAATTATGTACGTCAAACAGACTAGAACAAATAAACATTAAACCACTTCAGGATTAATTCCACTCTAAATTCCAGATGAGTTTCTAAGATTTTTTTTTAATTAAATGCTGATAATTTTAAGACACCATAAATAACGCAGGATTCAATAAATACAACCATTATAACTCTCACTTTATTCTGAACAGCTCAAAAACATAATCTACCCCTTATATACTCTTCTATCCAATGTCAGATAACAAAACAAGGTCATGCAGATTATCTGTTGAAACTAGGCTTTCCTACAAGGGCAGAACTTGAAGTATATACTTGGAAAGGTACTCAACCCTGAAGGACTCTCTGACTACAAACATTTAAAAACTCTTCTAAAACGGATGTGAAGCTGCAAAGAGGCCATAAAACCCCTGTGTCAGGGTTTTTATTTTTTCTGTCCAGCTGATGCCAGGAGCATGTTTACTTCCACCTCCACAGGAAAACAGAAATCATTGGAATGGAAACACAGATGTTATGTATCAGAATATTAATACTGTCAGAAGCCCTTGTTGAGAAAAGTTCAAAAAATTAAAGCCAAAATTGATTAGCTGCGAGTTTTTACCTCAGACTGCAGGTGCTGGATCACAACTGTTAACGCTTCAAACTTCTGGTTACTGCTTGTCAGGAATTTTTTCAGCTGCAGGATGATTCCACTTTGGGTCTCACATTTTGTCTTGTACTGTGTCAACTCGGCTGTTTTTGTGCCAGACGAACGCACATCTGTGGAGCCTTGAGTCTGTATGCATGAGCTCTTGGGACTCCGCTGCTTGCCCCTGTCAACTAAAACAGCAACAACAACAACTAATTAATATGCAGTTTATACTGAAGTCTCACCAAAACTCAAGACAGATGCAAAAGAAAGGAGTTATAAATTCCTATGGACACTTCCTGAAATACTAACTAGAAGAAAGGGTTATTTCAGTAGCACTGCAGCGCAGATATTATCATCTGCCAGGTTAACTTCTAGCACCATAACCTTGTATACAATGTTTTGAACTTCATCCTCACCTTTATGTATTCTGTGGCTTACATTTCAGCATATTCTTCACACTGGGCTCCAAATAACTATTTTCATAAAATGCAAGGTCTCCATCATGCCACCTACCCAGTAACTCCTTTCTAACATAAGAGCTGACCACTTTTGTTTGCAAAATGGATTTCCTATTTCCTGCACTCTAAAGCATTGCTGAACATGAAACCATTTTCCCTAATTGGTCTTTTTCTTCCACTCAAAATTTTCATTGCAAAAACTCCCCCCTCTGCAGCTCAAGTTTAAACTTTATTGACTAGAGGTCTTGCAGCATTTCTGAACATCAGCGATTCCAGTCACAAGGATGACTTTTTTAAAATGCTCTAAAATGTAAGATATTTCAAGTTTGCCCTGCCACTATTCACGGTCCAAGAATTACATCATTGACTTAATATTCTTAGTTATGTTGCAACCTCAATCCCTTCAGAGTACACAACCATCTCATGTCAGAGGAAACCACATTACATAATCCAGGACTTGATTCATAAACACTGTGGAGGTTACAGGTTTCTCTGCTGCCTTCAGACTGTAAAGGGAGTACGGTACTGCTGCACAGATACGGCCAGCCTTCCCCATTTGATCACACCAGGAACGAGCAAACACTTTTGCAATAAAAGGCTGATGCAATACATAAATATCCCTTGGCAATTTAATGAAGACATCTAAGCAGATTACTTTTACAGTTTCAACTTAACAAGATTTATTCAAGATAAAGTGAAAAAACCTGAGAGGTGAGATTTGGAGAAAATAAAAATAGGATCATGTGGAAAAAACAGGGGACAAACTAACCAACTAGAAGTAGCTGCTCATGAATCCTTTCTGAAGCCAGAGCACCTGGTTTGAAGGCTGTCAGGTGACTGGAATAGTCCCAGTGGTGCAAGGTTCAATCACACAACTGGAGACAGTATTAATAACAAAAGCTTTGATTCTCAGTTAGTTAGTCTGACTGACACATGAACTATTGCTTTAATATATCAGTCTTACATAGCCTTCACTTGTTTTCAAAGCATTTGAAAACAAGTTTCTTGTTCCAAATACTAATGTCCTCTGCGCCTGTCTTACTGAGCCAGGTATAAAGTGCTTCCTGAGCCTATTAATTTTCCAAATAAATCCTCTCTAGGCAAGATTTTCTGTCATCCCTCATAGTTAGAGAGTTGTCAGTGTATTGCTTTATCATGTTCAGATGCTCTTGTATTCTTGAAGATTTCACTACGCTTCTGCTCAGACATGCTGACTGTTAAAGGCTAATTTTGAATTAGAAACATACCATCTTGCAGTTTAATAGTAGAGCTGTTAAAAGGTAAATAAACATGACAATCCAAATCAAAACACAAATCTGTAGAGGAAAGAAATATCAAGCTTGGCTGCCAGTTCTAGTTAGCTTATTTTTTACCACCATTTTAACTAATGTGACCACTTCTTTTCTCACAGTGCAGACATTAATGATGTCCTTTGAGTAGATCTCTTTAAAGAAATGACAGTTCACATTTGAGAGCAACCATGTCAGATTTCCAGCTATCTTACAGAGAATACTGTGTTTACGAAAATACTGATTACCTTCTGAAGCTCCTTCAAAAATCACAAGAGAC